ACAGACTGAGCTTTTGTGAAGGTAATTTGAAGCTAATTGTATACATACGGATTTTAACTGATATGACATATTAGTGAAGAACTTACTCTAAACTTGTGTTTTGCGTTTTATATATTAAAATTATATTGCAATTTCACTCTTGTAGTACATAATTGAGGTTAGAAACTTGTGTTTTGTAATGCAAGTTTGTTGACAGAGAGAGAGAGAAAGAGAGAGGTGGGTAATAATATGACTTTGTAGGGTTAAAAACATCCATTTCTATGTCAACCAGTAACATCGATTATTTTCCATGGGGGTTTGGGAACAAGAACAAAAAAAATATTTCACAAGCAAAATTAAAGTAAAAACAAACCAAATCTAAAAATTGAGAAGCTTTCACTCTCAATATTGTCAAAAATTAAAATTCGGTGAAAGATCGCGAGGATTCAAACATACTACAAGAAAAGTTTGGTGGGGTGCTAAGATGAAAATTATTCGATATTAATGAGGTTTATCCAATGTTGATAGACCTTGTTATTTTGTGCAGGACAAATACTGTAAATTCCACTTTGTTAATAGAAATCGGCGAGTTGCGACAACGACGCGGGCCAAGGCTACCTCCGCCATTATTCAACCCAGTGACGTAACGTGAAGTGCAGCTTCGGTAGAATTCGATACCGGCGGGGATACAAAGTGCGGCCCTTGTGGTTTTACAGAGTTCTTCACCGGTGTTGATGCCAAATACAGCACCGGCGATGATGCAGAGTGCGATATAGACCATGCAGTCGGCGCCATTGATCGAGAGCCAGCCTGCGTCAGGCCAATCCACATCGACTACCTTTACTGCCAAAGATTCTGGTATAAATGTTTCAGGTACGGTCAATTATGACACCTTTCATCAGTGCGGCTCCTCAACTTGCTGCTCATGTGCAGCAAAATACAAAAGAAAGAATTTTTAATGATCAGTTTGTAAGTTTTGCAACCCTTTTGTCCCATGATCCTACTGTAACTCAGCAAAATCAAGTTGTATCTGAGGATGGGGTATTCCAAGTAAAACCAAAGCAGAAGGACCAAAAAATTTCAAGTTTTTCACAATGGCTCGATGCCTTTTCTATATTTGCTTCTGTATACTTAACAAAACATACTTGTCAAGCTATCCCATTGTTTAAATATTTGACACCAAATAAGAGATGGGGGGGCTGAAAAATTGAGAGGTAATTGGTTGGATTATGACATCCATTTTCGACTGAAGAAACCTTACAATACTTCCTTGTGCTGGTCCTCTGTTGATGCAGAATTGTGGATGATTTACATGCAATCAGCTCCTTCCACAACCGTCAGTTCTCGTCAGCAGCGAGGCCAGCAAGTTCAGTGCAAATGTTATGCGTATAATTACGATGGTATTTGCAACAAGCCCAATTGTAATTTTTTCCATAGCTGTCTAAAGTGCAATGCTTTTCACCCATTAGTCAAATATTTTAAGAACAGTACTAATTCAGTGGCAGTTAAACCTGCATCTCAGTTTAATGTCCGTAATCAGTTCCATCTTTATTCCAGGAATCAACAGTTCCGACAGCCTTTGGGAGGGTCAAAATCCAATCCTATCGCATGATTGTGCTAGCCTACGGGAACTGGGTCATTTGCCAATTAATTCTGTTAACTTGGATCATTTGTTATCTTCATATCCTAATGCTGAGGATGTCAATTGTTTATCTTTAGGCTTTAGGTTTGGTTTTTCTTTAAATTTTAATGGTCCTAGGAGGAGGATGGAATTTAAAAACATGCCTTATGCAAATCAATAAAAATATGAATTACAAGAAAAAGATTGATAAGGTGGTTACATTAGGCACAATATTGGGGCGATTTTTACATCTTCCAATATCAAACTTGCGGTGCAGCCTCATAGGTCTAGTCCCTAAGAAGTAGGTTTTTTGCCGGATGATCACTTATCTATCTTACTCCCCAGGAAGCAGTGTTAATGACTTCATAGATCCTGATATTTGCTCAGTAAATTATTCAACTTTTGGTGATGCAATTGCATTGATTGTTTCTAAGGGCCAAGATGCATTACTAGCGCAAATAGATATTTCAAGTGCTTTTCGCCTTTTACCTGTTTCCCCAAAGGATTTTTGTTTGTTGGGTTTCAGACACTATGGGGCATATTATATTGATAAGTGTTTGCCAATGGGGTGTTCATTATCAGGTGCATTATTTGAGAAATATTCTACATTGTTGCATTGGGAATTAACCCATAGGTCTAATTTACATTCAGTTGTTCATTATTTAGATGATTTTATGTTCATAGATAGTGCAAGTTCATCTGATTTCAAGCATTGCAGAGATATTCTGCTTTATCTAATCATATTCAGAAGGTGTCTTTCTTTTCACACCTGAACTTGAAACCACTAACCCAATACCAATTTTCATCCATGTTGAACAAGGCTTTAAAATTTTTACATAATCAGACATCTTCATTTAAGACACATTCATTTCGGATTGGGGGTGCAACCTACTTGTACATCAAGGGTTATACTGAGGAACATTAAGAAGATGGAAAGGTGGAATTCAGTTGCTTTCAAATCTTATGTAAGGCCATTGTCATGTACTAATTAAGTACCTAATTAGTTGCTTAATGCATCTGAAAATTAATTATCTAATTTCAAGAGACCATTTTCCATGATTAACAATTTAAATGTGTTCATGTTTGCTTATTTCAATTCGTTTATAGATTCCATTTGGATCATAGGTTCATCCATAATACATTGGGCCAATCTCTATGCAAAGAATTTGAATCAAGGCCACCTTTGTCTGGAGTCATTCACCATATTGTGGCATGGGATTCGGGGTATGGTTTGGGAGCAGTTGTATCCTACAATTCAATTTTTGTTATCAAGGAACAAGGCTCCAAAGATAATTGTCATTCACTTTTGTGGCAACAATATAGGTCAGCCTCACAACACATTAAGAAGCCTCCAAAAAAATTTTAAATCCATTTTAGCAGACATTGCTGATCTACTCCCCCATACTGCTTTGATTTGATCCTATATTTTGCCACGCTTCAGTTGGGTTAATTGCCTTGCAAACACTGAGGGTGAAAAATGCAGACGTAGAATAAATAGTGCTTGTGCAACATTCGTCATTAATAAGTTCCAGGGGCGGGGAGCATCTATTAATTACCCAGACATTAGTGTGCAGCAAAGGGCTTTATTTAGGAAAGATGGGGTTCACTTAACTGACTTGGGCAATTCCCTCTTTACCAATACATTGTGCAATGCATTACATCATTTTATTAAGTGCAACTTTTCTTCACCAACAACCGTTCACGGTAGCTCAGTCGGTAGAGCGCTCGCTCCGTGATCGGGAGGTCGTAAGTTCGAATCTCGGCCGCGACAGACCTAATTCGATTAAAAATGGGTAGCAACTGTTCCTTCGCCATGCGCTCGGCACTTTGAAGTGAAAGTTACGGGTCATTCGGATGAGACCTTAAAAACCGAGGCCCCGTGTCACGGCAGGCGTTGGCACGATAAAGATCCCTCACTGCTCAATGGCCCTGAGTGCCGAGTAAAGGTCAAAATTTGAAGCCCTTCACCGGTATATGGTGATGTCTCTATTTGAGTGAAAAAATCTCGAATGTGACGTAAAACAACATACAATCAATCAATCAATCTTCACCAACATTTCCCTTAATGCCAAAATCACCAACCCCCATATAGTATATTCAAAGTTGTAGTTCGGGGGGGGGGGGGGGATTTGGTTTGTTTATGCTTGTCATGTGTCAATTTTGCGAGTGCCATTTGTTACTCAAATGGCCTTCGCAAATCTTATATGTGTTTGTACAGTCAGTATATTATTTAAGTGTGGTACCAACTGTGGTTGATCATCCAATTATTTGCTATTTGCACTTCCATATTTATATATAGAGAGAGTGGTACCATCTGTACCAAAATTATCTGCATTTCATATATATTTAGTGTTTCATAGCATCATCTGTGCTTCCATATATATTTATATTTGTATTAGTTTTGGGCTGCAAAATTTCCGCTCCATCTTGGTTGTGGCAAATGGGTCTCAGGACATTAGGCATTGGGCCCATGTCCTTTGACCCATTTGGCTAATTTTGCATAGATTGCTTTCTCTGTTTTTTCCAGGCTCCCTGGATCAAGATGGCACTTCTATTGCTTAATCTTTATGCTGCCAAATGTTTATCAGCGGTGCATACATTTGTTCATTAATTGTACTTTTCTGATATATTGTATATCTATTAAATGGCCATGACAAGCACGCCAAAACAATTTTAGTTATTCATTTGTTTATATTTACAATTATACCTTGTACCTTTGTTTAAGGGTTTTCTGATCTATGTCTTCTGTCGTGGTTTTATATTGAAACTGTCACTAAATAACAGACTGAAAGATTTTTCTCAGAAAAAAATATTGCTGTACCTATTGTTTGTTTGTTTGTTTGTCTGTTGTTTAACGTCCCTCTCCAGGATTTTTCACTCATATGGAGACGCCACCACTTGCCGATGGAGATCTGGAAATTTTGTCCTATATTCGGCACTTACGACCATTGAGCAGTGAGGGATCTTTTTCGTGCCAGCACCTACTGCGACACGGGACCTCGGTTTATACGGTCTCATCCGAAGGACCGGCTGTACCTTATGAAAGGTATTGTGTGTTTTAAAAATGTCATTAAAAAAAAATAAAAAATGAATAACAGAAATGACAGAAAATTATCGACAAATTTGCACAAAGTTGTTTTTCAGAGTAGGAAACTAGATGCCGCTAAATGATCACGGTATTTTAAGCTTACAAAGCTCTTTATATTTAAATTCTTTTTCAATTCAATCTTTTAATTGATCGATATTTTCATTCTTAAAAAAATGTTTATGAAAGTAAAATATGCATGTATAATGATTCTAAAAATTGGTTCAGATATTTATCATTTGATTTTCCAAAACATTGACATCATTTATCTTTTCTGCGTAAGTTTACCACAAAAAATATTCAACAAGGAAATAATTCAAAAACGCATAGATTGGTGGATGTAGGTACTCTAACTGTATAAAAGGCATCAATCTCGACCATCTCGTTATCTGTCCTACATCAACTTGGGAAAACTTCTCTTTGCTTTGACTCTTCTCTGTCTGGTGTCCCTGACGACCGGTGAGTGTACTTTTTTTCTCTCTCTCTCTTAAAATTGTTTCTTTTTCACAGTTAATCACATTTTTAGTTCAAATTTAGAATTTAAATTAATCCTGTAAAAACAAAATAAAGTTAGGACTCCTTAGGGCTATAGATAACTATTGATTGACAATGTTGATTTATAGTATCAATGGCAATTTCGTGTTGATCTGAAACCTGTTAATCTTTTTTTATTATTATTTGTAGGAACTCTTTTCGCGAAATTTTAGCGCGGAAGTCTTTTCGCTACAATTTCATTCTCGTGTATAATTGCATTTTTAAGGAATATATTAAACAAAAATTAAAATTTTGGAAAATGTTTTGTCGCTTGTTTTAAATGCAATAATACTATGTTGCAAAAAATAAAGTGCTGCGAAAATATGGTGATTTGCAGCATTTGAATTATGACCCAGAAGTGTTTATGTTAGTTGTTAAAAGATTACACGTAAACATCAATTTCAGTGTATAACTTTGCTGCAAAATATGATCTCTCTGAAGGATACATAACAACAGTTACTTTTCCTTCCATTTTTTTTTTTTTTTCTTAAATTAAATGCGATTCAATTTCTCATGAAAACATTTGTAAGCGCATGTATCTGCATAAATGCAAAATTAATTTTTACCGAAAATTGCAAAAATGTTGTGTTTAAATTAGTTTTTATAGCAAAATAAATCAATGATGTAATGAGAAAAAAGATACGAATGAATTAATGCATTCATCACTTGAGTCAACATTTAAATCTGTAGATCGAATTATAATAAATGATTGACGATTTGGAAAAGTTAATATTAATTCTAACTTTCTTAATTTTAGCTTATCCTCCTTACGAACAGCAACAACACGACTATCGTCGCAGATGCCGTCGTGACCTTCATTGTCGCCCAGGAGAATATTGTAAAATTGTGTCCTACTTCCCGAATAAGCAAGGCTTTTGCTGTATTCGCTGTAAGTGTCTTTGATTTAAATATAATAATGAATATATATTATGTTGGAACATTTCATAATAATTTTCTTTACTTTTGAAATTATTGGTTTTTCAGTGTTCAAGAAGTTTATTGTTATTATCTTTCTGTTCAAAGGCTTAGGAGTTTTGACAATCACTAATGACAAAAATCGCATTGCAATATTGACTCAATATGAAATACAATTTTTGTTTTGTATATTACAGATGACACTGGATAATTCACAAAACAACCTAATATTTCAACTAAATTAAATTTGAAGTGATCAATGTTCGATCAAATTGAAGCATTTGAATAAAATCTTGCATCCAATGTTTAACTTTTTATTGATAAGATTGTCTATTGCATACTTTACAAATTCTGACTAATAGAAAGCTTTAGAAAATTAGCTTTTTACTGTTTTTTTTACTTTTTCACGAAATATCTGTAGCTCATGGTACGGTTTCTTCCTTTGATTTTTTTTTCTTTTCTTCAACATTGCTCAGCACTTGCTGGCTAATTATTTTACAGTTTTTCCGACAAAAAAAAATCTTGAAATATTTTGATATCAATCATCCCTTTCTAAATATAAGTAGATAATTGATTTTGAGCTTGTTGAATGACAAACATTGATAATACAAATGTAAAAGCTGGTGGAAGATAAAATTAAGAGCTTTTCCGACAAAAAGGTCGTGAAATATTTTGATATCAATTTTTCCCTTCTTAATATAAGTAGATAAACCATTTTGATCTGGTTGAATGATAATCATTACTAATGCAAATGGAAAAGCTGATTTGAATAAAAAAAACTCAATTTGAAGTTCCTAAAATAAACTCTAGTGTTTGGAGGAGAATAAAAATAACAATTACTAAGTGACAAGGTACGATCTTCTCAGTGCATCGGTCATACATATGCGTTTATTTTCAATGTATTTTTCCAAAAATTATGACAAACATTTTAGGATATCGGAAAAAATTGAAGAAAACGAAATCTGATTGATCTCAAAAAAATAAAAAAAAAACTACAAAGAATACAAATCTGTGAATAGGACATAAAACACGAATCCCTGGGAACTCCAGAGGTGGGATTAGGTGCCTTAGAGCAAGCATCCCCTCTGGACTCTCCACGCCCCATATTTTTATCATGTAGACGGAATATATCGTATTCAAATTTAGTTTTAAAAACAAATGCATAGAAACAATTTTTATAAGATTTGTCAGTCAAAATATGACCCAATGTCAATGCGGAAATTCGGTATATTTTTAATGTCAACTTCAGAGTACTTTTGTGTAGAGTCAGAGTAATTTTGAACAAAGAAATGTTTATCACCAATCACAACATATGACAATTTCCTCTTTTTTGATTGAAGAAGCGTTTGTTGATGATATCAGAAAGCCTATTTTTTTTAATTTATCGTGAGGAATGGTTGTATACAGTGTAACAATGTCATACATTTCGATGTTACTGACTTTTGTAAATAAATATGTTTTGTTATATAAATCACTGTTTAACTCTAACTTCAAAAACCGTTCACGATAGCTCAGTCGGTAAAGCGCTCGCTCCGTGATCGGGAGGTCATGGGTTCGAATCTCGGCCGCGACAGACCTAAGTCGATAAAAAATGGGTAGCAACTGTTCCTTCGCCATGCGCTCGGCACTTTGAAGTGAAAGTTGCGGGTAATTCGGATGAGACCTTAAAAACTGAGGCCCCGTGTCACGGCAGGCGTTGGCAAGATAAAGATCCCTCACTGCTCAATGGCTCTGAGTGCCGAGTAAAGGTCAAAATTTGAAGCCCTTCACCAGTATATGGTGACGTCTCTATATGAGTGAAAAATTCTCGAATGTGACGTAAAACAACATACAATCAATCAATCAATCTAACTTCAAAAACGTGCTGCAAGGTATATTTTAGATGCTCCCCCTGATGCGCCCTCACAACCTCTCTTTGAGAAATTGATTGGTTCACAGTGCATGAGCAACTTCCTGTAAATAAATATGTTTTGTTATATAAATCACTTTTTAACTCTAACCCTACTTATTTAAATAGTATTTTGTTTTCCAGTGTAATAATCGATACAATCTTCGATCTGAATCCAACTTAGACCTGTGTGTACCATCTCATTAATGTAAACTCTTTGAAAATTCCTTCCAATACTCTGGTGCTATGTTAAGGAATGATTTACCTGTATATATAAAAATGTCTCCAACACTCAATGCTTTCAAGCGCCAAGTTAAAAAATATGTAAAACAATGTTGCAATTATTCATGCTTTTTTATTGATTGTGTGTATTTGTTTATAAATGTCTATTAATTTTTGTCTACTGAACGCGGGTATGTTAAGGCTACACCCAGAGATATCCTACTTGCCTTTACAATATGACGTCATAGTAAGCTGTATGACGTGAACTTTAGAAATAATGATTTCTTAATATCTATATTCAAAGTTTAATTTCAGGTCAAAGAAATGAATGGAATCATTCAAAACATAATATAAACTAAGTCTTGTCGTTTTTGGGTGGTATAAATAACTAATACTTAGCACGGGGGTTAAATACCAAACCCATGACGTCATAACTATTGATCAAATATTTGCCGAGTGAAATTAAACGTGACGAGAATTCATGTAAACAAATAGATGAAATGGGAGTTTTAAAGCATATACCTTGAATGTTATGTGTGATTTATAAGGAATTAAAGATTAAGAATAAGGTACGCTGATATATTCTTATCATATTTTCTTATAATTAACACAGGCAGTGCTTTGAAATTCCGATCAGCCTTTTCTCTGTCGTTCTATTACGACAAAGATGCAAAAGTTCAACACTACGCCGCATACCTTGAAACAAAATTTTTGTTTATATCGAAAGCTTGTATTCTATAGTACTTGGAAAGTGCTGCTAGAATCGTGCGGTTAACATGAATTGATAACAATTCCTTGATCGCATGTATAAAATGTAAAAATTTTGGTAAGGTTTCATTTGAAACTTTGGAATATTTTTTTCTGTGTCGGGAGTGTAGGATTCTAGCAGCACTTTTCATGGCCCAGTGATGTTTTCACATAATTATTTTCACTAAAAGAAATGAATTAGCTCCGGGGTAGTGTTGAACTTTTCACTTTTTCATTAAGGCAATTTTTCTATTTAAAGACGTCACGTGATGACGTCGTAGTGGAGTGCTTATTTTAGCCTAAGACTCATTGACGTCTATACAATGGATAATAATAGAAAATGTTTTGTCCATGACTTTTCCGATTTATCAATGTTACATTTTACGAAAAAAGTCTAAATTCGCCGAAATATGATCTGGGTACTGCCTTAACATACCTGCGAAGGCCCCGGGGAAGAATAGTGCTTGCACTAATCGGGTTACCTTCTTTAAATAAAGTATAATTATTATTATTAAAATTTCCCCCCAAATATATTGATGAAATCCATAATCCCACCTCTGATGTTTTTGGATGTTCGTGTTTGCTCTGCTCCCGATTTGTATTGTCTGAATGTACTATGAGCTTGAATACTGCTCGTTATCTCTATATATCATCCTTTTCATTTAGACTTAACTTGTTTAATAATATAGGACCCATGTAAGCTAAAGGTGCAGGAACACCCAACAAATGAATGAAAAAAGCAGTTGACTGTGATTTCAAAGAGCCTAGTTTTTAATTTATCATTAGGAATAACTCTATAAAGCGTAGAACAATGTGTTTCACAAGGTGAAATAAATGGATATAACGAACAACAGTATTCAAACTCAGAAGTCCACTTAACAGTACAAATTTTCGTGCAGAGCAAACACAGACCTCTAAAGCATCAGAAGTGGGATCAGTTGCCATGGAGGAGTGAGCATCCCCTGCAGACCGGTCACATCCGCCGTGTGCTCCTTGTCATGATCGGGTAATAACGGAAAAATTCCGTCGACAATTCAGTACGTAAATAATGGCCTAACAATTAGTATGAAAAACGTCAGTCAGCATTTGACTTGATGATGAATTGTATTTGATGAAAAAGTCATTGTGAAATATATGGAGATTACGAACAGTATTGAAGCTCAAAAGTCCATTAAACAATACAAAATAGGAGCAGAGCAAACACGGACCTTCAAAACATCAGAGGTGGGATCAGGTGCCATGAAGGAGTGAGCATCCCCTGCCGACCGGTCACACTCTTTGTCATGATCGGGAAATAACGGAAAAATCCGCCGACAATTCAGCGTGTAAATAATGGCCTAACAATTGGTATGAAAAACGTCTGCAGTCAGCATTTGACTCAATGATAAATTATATTTTCTGACAAGGTCATTGTATCGACCATAGAACTTACGAAATGATGACTTTGAACGACACTGCTGATATTCTTGTTTCATCAACTTGTTTGTCAATAATTTACCTCGTTTTAGAAATTGAACATAAGTAGAGCATGCTCCTTCTTATCGAATCAACTGAGAGATAAACCCCATATGCAGGTGATGAAGGTATATTGCTGCATAAGTAAGGGAAGTTGACGATTGAAAAGTTGAAGTCATCATGTTTATCATAAAGCTTGATTGTTAGATTACCATTAACGTCTTTTTAAAGTAAAATATCCAAATATTAAACAGATGTGTCAGACTCTGTGACATCTTTTACCTCAAGCTCACCGGGATATATCGTATCGACATGAGAATGGAAATAACCATTAATTAATTAATTGGTTAATTGACAATACGTCGTCGATATATCTAAATGTCGAGTTGAAGGCCGCAGCAATTGTTTTCTTCTTTTCACGTATAAGATTTTGGACAAATTCTGCTTCATATGAATACAAAAAAGGTCTGCTAATAACGGGGTGCAATTGGTACCCATGGAAATTCCCATGGATTGTTGGAAGACCTGGTCTCCAAAAACCACATACTAGATATTGTCAATCAGAAACTCAAGCATCTTTTTAATGTCAACTACAGAGTACTTGTGTGTACAATCAGAATGTTTTTAACAAAATAATTTTGCAATTGATCAAGACAAGGTAAGTAAATTTACGAGTTCCATTTTTTTAATTAATTGGTTAATTGACAATACGTCGTCGATATATCTAAATGTCGAGTTGAAGGCCGCAGCAATTGTTTTCTTCTTTTCACGTATAAGATTTTGGACAAATTCTGCTTCATATGAATACAAAAAAGGTCTGCTAATAACAGGGTGCAATTGGTACCCATGGAAATTCCCATGGATTGTTGGAAGACCTGGTCTCCAAAAACCACATACTAGATATTGTCAATCAGAAACTCAAGCATCTTTTTAATGTCAACTACAGAGTACTTGTGTGTACAATCAGAATGTTTTTAACAAAATAATTTTG